GTCCAGACCCTTCTGGAACTCAGTTTTGGGTCATCTCCGGTGCCAAGAACTACAATCGTCTCAGGTGCTTGCCAAAGACAAAGGGAATATGGAATGGCTGGTAGAAAAAGGTAGTTATAGGGGCACCTGGGTGGCTCAGATGGTTAAGCGTCTGCCTTCGGCTCGGGTCATGATCCCAGGGTCCTGGGATCGAGTCCCGCATTGGGCTCCCTGCTAGGCGGGGAGCCTGCTTCTCCCCCGTTTCTCTCTCTCTCTCTCCGACTCTCATGAATAAATAAATAAAACATTAAAAAAAAAAAAAAAAGAAATAGGTAGTTATGAATACCAGCTGTGGTCCTGTGACCAGGGGCAGACACAAGGAATCTGAATACTTTTATTTTCATATAATCATATTCATATATATAAACCAAAGTGTTTATTCCTCTCTCCCATTCTCCTACCACTGAATGTATGCTAATAGTATTTCATCTTGTGTCTCACAATTTAGGCTGCACAACATCCAGGGGGACTGTGACCCAGCTTGAAGAGAGAGGAACATCACCCAGATGCAGAGAAGACTAGTCAATTTTGCATTAGTGAATGTTGGGTTGAGGGATCATTTCATCCTGTTCGGCATAAACACAATTTTGCTATCGCCTTCTTTGGAAGCTAAGTTTGATCGAAACGTGTGTCCGAGTGCCAAGCTGACAAGGGGTGAACCATGACAGCTGTTGGGTTTATGCTGCATCAGTTCAGTTAACCAGGAACCAGCCTGCCCCCCCCGCCCCCCGCCGCCATTCCTGTACAACTGGATGTTCTGGAGAGCCACAGAGCTGGCATGGGATTTGGAAGGTGGAACTGAAGTCTCACACTCCACAGCTGAGGGTCTGCTGGCTGCCCTGGTGGCCTGGAGGGGCACCGCAGCTGTAACTTCTCCAGCTCCTACCAGCTCCCTGGGCTGCAGACAGTCCCTGAGCTCGTCCACCTCTCATTCATACTGGGCCAAGGCTGTGTGTTGTTCCACGGAGAAATGCACCTACTCTTTGGGAAGGCACCTTCATCATCCAAGTTGCGGGCTTGGAAGCAGCAAGACACAGACACGTGTTCTGGTTTGTTCCGATGAGTTTCAGCTCAGCCATGCAGACCTCAGGTGGCTCCCCCCGCCCCCCGCCCCTACTTTCCTCTCTGACAGTCCTGCTTACCTTGGCCCAGTACCAGGTACAGGCCCAGCAGCTTTCCAGACAGCCTCACTCCCAGGACCGCATCAGCTTAATACCCCATAATTGTATTATGTATGTATTATGTATTATGTATTATAATTGTATCCCTTACATCACTCACGGTGGTTCTGACCTTCTGATCAAACCCCAGTACAGTCTTCTTCTCTGTTCCTCTCAACAGTGCCACTATTTAAAAGTATTTAACTTTTCAATATGCTCATCTTATCTGGAGTTCTGAGTGACAAGCTTCCTGAGACACGTGCATCTATAATTCTTAATGTTTAAAGAGAGCTATGCAAATAGGCACAAGTAATTTATTCAATGAAGCATCAGGACAAATGAATACGTACATCTGTAGATGGTATTACATTCATTTTACAATGATTTATAAGTGTTAAAGAATTCTTTGTCCCCCAAAGTCTCTATTCTTTATTGAACTAGTTCAAGTTACATGTAATTAAAATGTTCTGTCTGTTTAAATTCCCTCCCTACCCTGACATTCAAACACATTCTATAGGTATTTGAAATAATCTTTCCTTCATAACCTATTAATTTAATTTCACAGGAGTAATGAGGATTCCAATTACAAATCATGTTATTCAAACGCTGGTAAGGTGTTATTTAACCTAATACCAGAAACTCTTATATAAATAAATATTTTGGCAGTTCTCAAGTCTTAGTTCAGGAACTGAATGAGTGATTTCATCTGCATGAAGAAAGGATACTAGCTTGTTGACGTTCCTGGCACGCCAGCCATCCAAAGATGGGGCCTGGGGTCTAGAACGAACGAGAACATGCAATCCAACTGCAGGTACCAGAACTTGGCAGGAGTGTCTGACTTCCATGAAGGCTTACATTTAGCAGGACGAGCAACTTCTGGGTAGAAAGACCATGCTAACCACGCGAACCAAGACCGCTGGTTCATTTCAGTGAGCGCTCGACAATCCTTCCTAGC